GAAAAATGGATGACATTGAAAACAAAATCATCCCCCTGGGGATCCTCAAAGGTCAACACAAAAAAGTGGAAATCTCAGCTTGTATGAGTGCTCTGCCACCCATTATACTTATGCATAAGGGCCTATAAAACATGGACAGAAAAAAGAATAGATATTCAGAGTAGCGAAGTATGACGTGTCCCCTCTCAAATCCCCTCCTCCCCTCTCCAGCGGAAACGTACGTGCATACGGACCTTAGTGCATAAGAAAAAGTTTTGAGACGCATATTGCAGACACTGATTGTGTCTCTTTGGATATTAGCTGCAGCAGTTGCATTGGCATCACTGTACGGTCCCCACCGGTACATAAAAGGAGCGGATTATTGGAGGTACAAGATTGAAAGCTCCGCCTATTTCAAAATTTCAGTACTTCCTAAATAGAATTTCCTCATGTGATATAAGTAAAGCTACGATTTCTGAAGGTTGCCTCATTTATCCACGTTTTCTCAACGCACATCCTTTCACTGTCGATTGCGATCGAACTCTACCGTTTTATCTTCAATTTTTCATTTGCTTTCAGCAATGCAGTGAGTGGAACTTACAACAATTTTTCAAGATTTGGCTGGTCATTAGCAATTGCTTGGGTCATCATCGCAAATCATTTGGGATGGGGAGGTATGGAAGTAAAAGAACTTTGCAAGTTTTTGCAACTAATATCGTAGGAATAATTGCTGAGTTCATGGATCATCCGCTGTGGCAACCATTGGGCAAACTTTCTTACTGCGGATACATTGTGCACTTCTTCTTGATTTCATATATATTCAACTTAGATGATCGACCATCACATTTTGTTTCGATTTGGCGAACTGTAGGTGCTGAAGACAACACGGCTTTTGTGATTCGTTACTTTCAGTACATACATTGGGGTATACCAACAGTTGTTGTCTCATATGTATTCGCTTTCTTTTGGAGCTGCCTCTTCGAAATGCCCATTATGAAATTGGAAAAGATGCTGACTGCAAATCTGATGCCGAAAAAGAGCTCAGTTCCACCCAAGCAGGCTGTTGAGCAAAGCACAAACGAAGACGCAAGCGGGACCAAGAAGAACATTTGTTGAAGAGAGTATGGCAAACCTAGATGAAACAAACACGTGGAAGAATATCTTGAAGTTTTCCTGAGTCTT